AGAATAAACCAGATTTATTAAGTAAGGACTTGTGTCGCTAAAGTTTCGTCGGAACGAAGTTACGGAAAGTTAATTAACAAACGGAGACGTAACAGTATCATTAAGTACGCCTATCCTCTTCAGGAGTTATTGGGCTAAGGTTGAAAAACACTGTCAGCAGAGAATGTACTCAACTGATGACTTGTGGCAGAGTTGTCATATGGTGTGTTCGTTAATATTACGAGTTTAACTTTTATTGCTTTCACTGTACCGTTTATGACGTAATAGTGTCCTCACATGTTAGTCATTTATCGAACAACTCGTTACGAATTTAAATTTTCTGCTCATAAAGAAACAAGTCCATAGATTGTGAGATTCGTGATGTAACTAAGATTAAAAAGTAACGAAGCTGGAAATTAACGAACAAATCATGTTCGTGTCCTCATAATCAACGAACGACAAGTGAGCTAAAGGAACTAATGCGTTTTGTAACTGGTAATTAACGATCAAATCATGTTCGTGTCCTCATAATCAACGAACGACAAGTGAGCTAAAGGAACTAATGCGTTTTGTAACTGGTAATTAACGAAAGCGCCCGTAGAAGTTTTTGTAGTTTTCCTGCTGTTCTTTAATGAGACTGTTTATTAATACTAAGTGTAGAATTTTAGTAGCTTCTCTGGTAGAAGTTATTGTATACATAATTATGGTCGATCCGAGAGTTTTCCATAGAATGATAAGGGTCAGGATTATCGCTAACGTCCTCTTTTGTAAAAACAAAAAAAAACTGTTACGTCTCTAGTCGTTAGTTAATTTTCCGTAAAAATTCTTTCCGAAGAAACTTTAGCGACACAAGTCCTTTCTTAAATAAAACTAGTTTATTCTTTCTCAATACAACTTCGAAATTCACTTAATTTCCACGGTCACGCTATAACTTAACTAACGCTATAATTCACAACGAACTACTCAATCGTCAGTCTCTATCTCTGTCTGCAGTTCAATTACACATTGTTGCCGTCATTTCTTGGCCGTCTTATATACACAAGAATACCGAAAATCTAGTATACGCTCGAGGCTTCATGAACCTTCGAGAATATGACGGGTTACTAGCGTCACGTGACCTCCGTTGTCGTAACACTGCCTCTTCCTTAGTATTGTTCGTTCCGAACAATTGCCATTTACATTAA